TGTACTCAAAAAAGTTGCAGTGGTTTTAGCAGCTCATGTTGAGGCACAAGGCTTGTTTGCCAATCAGTGTAAATAAAACACATTATTTGAAGATAGATTTACTATGGAATGTGCTTCTTAAAGTATTAGACACAGTGCAAAATTAAGAATCTCTTTGTGTTTGCATCATTAACAGGGCTAATGTGCTTGTCTATTAAGACAATTTTCAAGGCAGGCTGTTTTGCAGAAAAATGCCACACACCCATTCTGCCCTGTATGTCTTAATTAATTGAGTCTTTAATTTGAAAGTACGTTCACTAACAAAATAATATCATAAGGATTTTTAAAATTACATGGAATTAATTAAGAAAAAAGGAGGTATTTTATTGAAATTTATGCTTTCAGTAACTCCTGCATACTTACAAGTTAGACTAGTGTTTTGGAGAAAACCTTTTATTGTTCAATATTCAGTCTCCTCATCCTTTCACCTGACTGTGAGAGCAGTCATTGAAAAATTCCAGAGCTTAGGAACTTTCTAACCTGCCTTATGTTTAATTTATAGTCTAGAAAAATGATTAAGTATTTTTTCCACGATCTTTCTGCTTACCAGTCTATCTACATTTGTGGAATTGATTTGTTTATATCGTTGAGTGGAATAATTTACATTCATATTTATGGAATGTCTTCTAAATAGTATTTCCAGTTTATTAAAGTATTTTGAATTACGATTCTATTTTCCAGAATATTTTCATTTCCTTCTAGCTTAGTGCATATTTTAAAAGGGTATCTTCTCTGCCTGTCGCTAATTAAAAGTATTGAACAAAACCAGATCTATACAACAGGTACTGTTTAAAAATACCATTGTCTATTTTTTTTTTCCAGTAAACTGCTGACAGCTACTTTTCCAGATTTTCCGTGTTCTAGCAAATTTATGGTAGTAAATAACATTTTTTCTTTCCTCATCTCTAGTGCTTTGTCAAAGCTCCTTCTATATATTTCTTCAATTTCACCCTATGCTTATACAGGTGTACTGATTTCTGAGCCTCCGTTTTGTCTCTCTTGTCTATCAGAATAACCTGTTGTGTATTTTCTTTTCTGCTAAGTTTCCTGCACTCCCTTATCCCTGAAATCAACTTTCCAAGAGACCTGTCCTTCCAGATAGCTGATTTTGTGAAACCCGTTTAATTTGCTGTTTTCTCCTTGTTTACTAACCTCCTCTAGTTTTAATTTCTCCTGTTTCCATCCCTATATTCAGTTAATTCTCCCTATAATTACCATAAAAGTCAATAATAGCCTCTCAAAAGGGCATTTATTACTCCAGAAACCTGTAGACATGCATGGTTAATTAGTTCTCCTGAAGCTTCTTGCCCTATTCTGTTACTCATATGTCTCCATACCTCAACAGAACTTTCTTAAACACTTCCCTGGGTTATGTGGTTTCTCAAGTTGCAGTTTTGGTATATTACCTGTTGTTTCTTTTTTTTCCCTCACCCAGACACACTTAGAAGTTTTTCTTTTATATTTTTCTGAAAATTTTTAAAATATATTTCAAAAGTATTCATCATCCTCCAGTTTATTTACAGTGGGTTTTGATTTTTTTTTTCTAGTGGAACTCTTGCTATTTCCATCGGCAGCCTTTTAACAGCCTTGTAATAGGTCACCAAGTTTTATTATTTTTGTAATGAGATATTAAATAAGACTACAATGACAAATTTTTAAAGTAAAAACAGCAAATCCCTAGAAAGATCCACATTTCATCTTTAATTCCTCAAATCTTGAGCTGTTGGTAAATATTGCCAGCCATAGCTGTCTTAATTCCACTAATGTCAATATCTTTGATTGAGTTAATTGTCTGTTTAGTATTTTAAGATGTTTTTTGACTTTTTTCCCCTTTCCTAGGAAACCATACTTGTAAAGACTGTGTCTGATCCATATCTTATAAATTATTACCCTCCAAACCATAAATACAAAATGGCAAAATGCATTATATCCTACATACTGACACATTCAGAGCAGATCACTAGAAAATATGCACTAAGAAATCCAGTCCCTGCAGGATTTATGTTTGACTCACTGAGATTAGATGTGCTGCTTTGGCATTTATGTATTAAAAGGGGAAGAAAGATAGAAAGAGAAGAAAGCTGGCATGCAAAGACTTACTCCTGTTACCAACTGGCATAAGAAATAACTGGAAAATAAAATCACTCTGAGGAAAGTTCTTGTTATAGTGACCCAGAGAACTAGAATATGATGGTTTTCATCTTGTTTTTTAGACATTTGCATTGGATTTTCTCAGTATATAATAAAAATATTCTGTGTGGCATAGTCAAAAGACTGAAATATCAGCAGTCATTTACAGGCAGGAAGGACCAGGAACGTTTTTTTTCCTGGTTTTTGACCCAAAAATCCTATCTCTGATTCTTATTACCTGATCTAGCATAGATTTTTCACTCATTATATTCACAAATATTGAAACCAGGTACCTTCTTAAATGTTGAAATCATTAGATCTCTGAAACTGAATGTGTTCTAAGATGGCTTAATCATATTCCCACTATGAAACTCCACTTGGAACAAAATAGTGTTTTTATCTTGGAAGAAGAAACACTCAAACTAGGCAAACATGTCCTGTATTTTTTAAAGGTGTCTCCCTGCTGTGAAAACTGATAGAGGCTCCATTTGTTGTGTACAAAAGAATTGTGTCCCTGGTTTGTGTAAAGCATCTGTGCAGGCAACACCATATTCAGATTAGGTTACTTTAGTTATTCTGTGCTCAGGCAGAAGGATCAAAGTTCAGCAGTACTTTCTTAAATTCAAATACAATTTTGCTCTAATTACTTAATTGGATTCCATTCTACGTTTCTCTTGGTGTTTTTTGTTTGTCTGGTTCGTGTTTTGTTCTGTTTTTTATTATGACCTATGAATCAAAATCCAGATATTTTGGATACTTGGATTTCATTCTTTCATGATGGCTGCTCTGGCATTATATATTCGAAAAATATACAGGAGTTCTGTTCAAAGTAAATTCAGGTGTGAGGGTTGGCATATAGAAAAATCCCCCTCTTGGACAAGTTTTAGGTTCATCTAAGGTAATTTTTACTTTTTTTACCTTTTAATTTTAGAGAACCGCAAGCCAAGCTCTGTAATCCTTGGGGCTACAGGTACTAATGTTGGCCAACTCTTTAAACATTTTATGATTACTGAAAAACATATTTGTCATTACAACCCATTTATTAATTCCCTTTGACTTGTATCACTTTTTTGTAGGTTTTAATTGTGTCCTGCAATCTGCATATCAGTTAACAGCAAAAGCTCTTGGCTGGAAGTGTTCCTTAACTAGGAATTTTAATAAAATGATTGTTCAAAGAGGGAATGTTTCTTTTATCTTCAGTTAGTTTCACCTTGAGCAACTTTGTTCTCTTATTCCACTTTTCACTTCTTTATAGCTGTTTTCTGGCTTTGAGTTTTGTTGGGGTTTCTTTTTGTCTATTCATACTTCACCTGCCTAAGGAATGTGTGGCACTGATTTTTCTTTACTTGTGTATAGGTTGCTACTTGGTGCACTTTATGTGTATTATTTCTATTATGAAAACCTAATAAATCCAGTGCTTAGAGGCCAGTATTGGGAATATTTTTTTCTGGAAAATGAATATAGCTTGCTTGGGGAATACTGTACATACTTCATTATCAAATATCTTTGGAGGTTTTGTGCAATTATCGCCTCAACACAAATGTATGACTATTTTTACTTTTTTTCTTAGTATAACAATACGTTTTAAAACTCATTTCTAGAATAAAGTCCATAGAGAAATAATACCGTTTTTGAAAACCAACTGTATTTGCACAACTGAGATTCTATTAAATATCAGTTGTTACATTTTTCTTCATCAATGCAACTGCCATTTGTAAGATTTATAAAGCTCAGCAGTAAAACAGCTGAAGATTGTAATAATACCATATCCATGCAAATATTCTCAACTATAAGAAAATTGAAGAGATTATTAAAAAGAAACCTACTGTGGAATTTGATGAGAAGAAGTAATAGAAATATAGAATCATTTAAGTTGTAAAAGATTTCATTTCCAATTTCATTGAGTCCAGCTGTTGACCTGATCCTGCCAAATCCACCATGTCCCTAAGCATGACATCTACAAGTCTTTTAAATACCTCCTGCGATGGTGACTTACCCACTTCCCCAGGTAGTTTGTGCCAGTGCTTGACTGCCCTCTCAGAGAAGAAAATTTTCCTAATATCCAATCTAAACCTCCCTGATGCAACTTGAGGCCATTTCCTCTTGTCTTATTGCTTATTACCACTTCCCTGGTCCTGCTGGCCACTCTATTGCTGATACAGCCAGGATCCCACTGGCCTTCTTGGCCACCTGGGCACATTCTGGCTCATGTTCAGCTGCTGTTGACCCACACCTCCAGATCCTTTTGCTCTTGGCCACTTTCCAGCCACTGTTCCCCAGCCTGTAGCACTGCAGGGGTTGTTGTGACCCAAGGGCAGGACCCAGCACTTGGCCTTGTTGAACCTCACAGCATTGGCCTCAGCATCAGTCCAGCCTGTCCAGATCCCTCTGCAGAGCTTCCTGCCCTCCAGCAGAACAACACTCCTGCCCAGCTTGGTGTCATCTGTGAACTGGCTGAGAGTGCAGTTGATCACACTGAGGTTGGAAAAGAGCTCCAAGATTATTGAGTCCAACCTTTGATTGAGCACCATCATGCCAACTAGAGCCAAGTGCCATGTCCAGTTGTTTCTTCAACATTTGTGGAGTGGTGATTCTACCACCTCCTTGGCCAGTCTGTTCCTGTGTTTAACCACTCTTTCTATGAGGAAATCTTTCCTGCTGTCCAACCTGAGCCTCCACTGGTGCAGCTCTAGGTCATGTCCTCTTGTCCCGGTGCCAGTTGCTTGGGAGAAGAGACCAAACCCCACCTGGCTACAGCCTCCTTTCAGGTGCTTCTTGAGAGTGTTAAGGTCTCCCTTGAGCCTCCTTTTCTCCAGGCTAAACACCCCCGGCTCCCTCAGCCGCTCCTCATCAGACTTGTGCCCCAGACCCTTCCCCAGCTCCATCGCCCATCTCTGGACTCGCTCTAGCACCTCAATGCGTTCCTTGTAGTGAGGGGCTCAGAACTGGACACAGCACTTGAGGTGTGGCCTCAGGACTACAAATCCTCTTGTCCAGATAACTGGTAAATATATTAACTGGGACTGGTCCCAGTAGTGAGCCCTGGGGAACACCACTGGTGTCCAGCTACCATTTGGATCTATCTCCATTCATAACCACAGTTTTCTACCCTTGTACCTGTCCAGGCCATGAGCAGCCAGTTTCCCCAAGATAATGTTTTGAATCTTGTACTTCTGCTGTTTCATTACAAGAACTTCAACAAAGTGTATGAGTGGGTATCACAGTGATTTGGAATCATGCTTTTGATCTGAGAGATCTTGAGTTTATTCAGATGCTGGTATATTTTTGAAACCACAATTCATTATTCATGCAGTAAGGTGGGTTCCAGTGCTTTAATGATGCTGATGTGCTTAGTACATCATTCCTTCAGACTGTGGACTGGATGCCTCCTGTCTCTACCCACTTAGGTGTGCCACTAGAAGTTATCATTCTGAATCATCCATTGCCACTCCTGAGCTTGGGAGCCTCTGTTTCTCCTGAAACTCCCAGTGGAGCTGCTCATGAAAACACACACAAGCCCTGCTTTCGTTAGGATGATCGAAATGAGGTTAAGCAGTACGTATTTGCTGATCCAGCTCATTTTGACAAAAGCCTTTCAGACCATGTTTATGTGAGCAGAGAGATTTAGGAAATAGTATCTGGCAAAGGAGCACTGATGAGCTGCCGAGGCTTGAGCTGGTGAATGTGTCCTTTTTCACTAACACAAGGTTTTAAAGCTTTGTGTCTTTGTTACATCTTCAGTGTACTGCAGTGCTGCTGCTGATGTTGAATTGGTACTGATTAAATTAGTCCTGTAAGAGAAGAAATCAATCATTACTTCTCTAGCAATTTTTATAGTACTGTGGCTGTTATTTGAAAGTGGTGCAAAACTCCACACTTGAAAATTGTGTAGTTACTTAAAGCTGTGTTTTACCAAAGATTTTAAAATTTTAAAACCAAGATTTTAAAGAAGCGTTGAATAACATGATATTCAGTGTTGAGTTAATAATACCCAGTTTGGGAACACTTAGTAAATTTTCAAAAGTGGATTTAAGTATATAATAAATATATTTCAGTATACTTTCAGTATAGGTGTGTAAAATCCATGGCAGATTTGTAAGATTGAATTCTGATTTGTTTTGTGGCAATAGTATTTTATATATCACAATTCAGAAATAAACTGATTGATTTAGTGGGGTAGAAAGAATTTATTTTCCCATGCAAGGGAATACCTCTAGAATGTTAAAACTAAATCAGTGGAATTTTAGGAACACAGTTATTTGTTGGAAAACCAGCATGTGATATTGTGTTCAAAGCTCAAATTTTAAAACATGCTACTGGATAATGGTAAATAAAATGCGAAATGCTAAATGTACCTTCCTGTTCATTTCTGTGTTATAGTATATTTATGTCTTTGTGTTATTAATTAAATGTTGAGCATCAAAAATTAAGCAATGAGCTTTAAAATGTCAACAGTATCTTTAAAAGTATTTTTTATATGCTTATGTAATATCTTAGGGTAAGCTTTAATGGTTTGGAAAACAATAGGGCAAAATAAAATGAAAACATTGTTGTCAAGGTCATACTTTTTAAAGCATAGTTAAAAATTGGAATTTTAAGGGATTTAGACACTAAAGAGAAACTGCTAACATTTAGTGGTGCAACATCAGCAATATTTTTATAAATGCATTGAGTCTCAGTTCAACATTTAAACCGATTTTACAGCAAGTAAAGTAAAATGCTTCCTGGTTTAATGAAATAGAATTTTATGCTCCTACGTTAAACCTTTATGATTTGCTTCTTTACATCAGCTGTTATTTGCATTTCTGTTGCAACCGTAGTGTATATATATGTTGACCTGCTCAGAATATGTGCCGTTAGTTACTTTGAAATCTCATTAAAATTATCCTGGAGGTGACTTTCAGTTCCTGAGGTTTGGAATATGTTATTAGAGTTTTTGAGGAAAGACGGTTGGAAAGAGCCAAGTACTGGGGAGCAGCAGGCTATGCAGAATAAAATAATTCCGTTTGAGGCAAAGATTTGTGTTTATTAGCACTTCCTTTAAGATGAAGTTTGGCCTTTTAATTTTAAATTAAAAACTTAGTGTTGAATGATGAGTTACACTTGAAAGTGAGAACTTCTTGGAACCAGATGTTGCTTTTAGTTTTGTTTTTTAGGAAACCATAAAGAAATTATATAACAAAAAAAATTGAAACATGTTTAGCAGCTGCCTGAACATATTTTCTGGATGTTGATGTTGAATGTGACTATTTTTGGGGTTCATGTGCTTTGAAAATAGATGGTGTCAAACCAGAGCCTTCAGGATCACTGGAGAATGCCACTTGCATGTGTGGTAGGCTTCTATTCCATACTTGTGACCTGAATAGCTGGATGAGTTTCTGCACAGGAATTGAAGGAGAGGGAATAAAGTGAAAAACAAGCTAGGAAATGTTACAAAAGTTCCGGAACAAAACTCAGAAATCCCCCCAAGCCGAGATGTGCTGTACTTGTTTAAGAAGGATCAGAGGCAGAGCTTGGGCACATGACCTCAAGCTACTCCATGCAAATGAGGAAGCGTATCCTCAGGTTTTTGGCACAAAGGGTTCCTCGCTGTTCGAAGCATGCTATCAGCTAAACCAGTTCTGGATGCAGTGCAGGCTTTGGCAGCAGAAGAAATGCTTGGGTACTCTCTGAAGATTGAAGGCGATGAGGTAAGATATGGCTTAAAAAGAGTTGAAAGTGAAGAATCCAGGCTGAGTCAGTCATTTTGATTGTGATAGTATTACATAATACAATTTTTTCAAGGTTATGAAAAGGAAAATAAGTGTGTGTACTTTTTCATGTTTCTCCTTGCTAATGCGGACAAAATGTATTATACTAGTGTGATGAAAATATTAAATTATTGAAGATAAAAGTTTTAACACTGTATAAAATCTATTTTGCTGTGTTTCCATGTTTTTCCCCTTTTTAGGCTAATCAGAAAGTCAAACTCAGTTTATAAGGTGCCGATACTGTTCTGAAAGTAAAAGTGTAAATATTTTTCCTGCATGTAATGAATATAACTTTATGAATAATGGAAAACGTATCTTTGTGTTTGAATTTTGTATATGCAAGATGTTGCTATTTATGAAGGGCTTGACAATCTGCTCACTGGATTTGTTCTGGAGAGAAAATTTTGAAGAAGTATTTAATGCAAAACAAAGCCATTTATTTAACAAAAGCCTCGCTTACATGAAGTTGCATGTTCTGAACAGATTATCGATTAAATTTATATCATTTTATGGTATGACTGTGGCTGCTTTGAAATCTCCAAGCCTCATATTACTTTCCTAGGTTTTCCTGATGTAGAAATACATCCTTTATATGCACATAGAAATTTGGGTTGATGATACTTTTCCTACTGTAATGCTTGTGGGAAAACTTGAAAAAAGCTTTGTCTCCTCATGTAGAGTATCAGCCATGTACATGCTTAGAATAATTTTTTGTGGTCTGATTCCTTAAGTGGGAAAAGATTTAAACTGAATCACAGATGAACATCAGATGTGAGCCCCAAGAGCCGTGGTTTAGAGTAATGAGAATATTTCTCTTTGAGGCAAAAATCAGTTTTCAATCTGTGTTTTAAATCTAAAATTACATTTTTCTACATCCCTCCAGGCAGATCCCTTTATCCTGATATATGCTTTTCATGGTTTAATTTTTCTGTCTTCTGAGAAAAAGTTTAAGTATGACCAAGAAAGTTCTACTTCTGCACAGTTTTAGAATAATTTATCTTCCTAAAGACTGTAGTGGCAAAAAACCTTTCTTCAAATCTCTTTCCTTTTTATCTTCCATAGAGACTTGCTTTTTTGAGAACTGGTCACTTTTCCTTTTGGGAGTTGTTCATAACTTGAAATGCAAAGAATTCCAAGACGATAAAAGATAGAAATAACAGATAAAAAGATAGAGTTCAAACCTTCCTTTTTACTCACTCTTTTTTTTATGCATACATACACTTTTAAAAGTTAAAAAGCTTTTTAGCTGTCCTTTTTGATAGAATTTTATAGATTTTGTATAAAATCTTATATAAAACCTTATATATATATCTTGTATAGATTTTATATAAAATCTTACTGACTAGAAACAACTAAGTATTTTTTTCCTTATAGTGAGTTATTTTCTTAAAATGACATGGATTTTTGCTGAAGATCTAAGACAAGTGTTAAGATGTCAGTTTTTACTTTGAAATGGTATTTAGTAATCTGGAGTCCAGCAATTTAGAGAATTAACAAATAGAGATATAGCTCTGAGTTTATTTCTCTTGCTAAGTAAATAAACTCATAAATATCTGTTTATACACTGGGATGTTAGCCTGATGTTTAAATTCCAATTTGTGGAACAGAATTATTTCTGTGCTTATCTGAGGTCTTTCTCTTTCTGCATAAATACTACAGAATTGATAATCAAAATGTTTCTCATGGTCCAGAACTTGCCAAAATATTGAATATATGATGCAGACTGTGTCAAGCTCTTAGCTGTAGTATTCTGAGTTTATATGTATAACTGTTTATGATTTTGTTGCATTTACTAGGTTTGCTGGGATGGGTAATCTTCTTAAGGTCCTTACCAGGGAAATTGAAAACTATCCACATTTTTTCCTGGATTTTGAAAGTAAGTTCAAACAATTACAAGACAATGAGAGAATCTTTTCCCTGACTTAGCAGCAAACTGAGGAAAAACTTTTAAAATCTGATTGCTTATACTGTGTATTTTCCAGCACAACCAATCTGTCCTCTAAAATCATTTGTTCACTCAGGACTCCTTTTCTCTTCCTTTTCTATTTTTCAGGAACCAAATGGGAAATCTTTTAAAAGTTCTCACTTGCACAGAGCTTGATCAGGGGCCAAATTTTTTCCTTGACTTTGAAAGTGAGCAAAGCTTCTTGCCTGGCTTGCCTTCTTTGCTTATTCTTTCCTAATAAACTGCATGTGCTTATGCATCATAAAGCAATTCAAAAGGGATTTGCAAACAAATCAAATTACACTTCAGTAGAATATTGCTTTCTGATATACAAAATTACTTCATCCTGAGCAGAGAAAGGGGCAGAGAGGTAGATATGCAAGTAAAACCTTATCTTGAATTAAATTGAAAACACGAGCCATTGTTAAACTTACATATGAAAGAACTCAACCTCAACTTTCTTTAACAAATCAGGGTTGAAAAAAATTATTATTCTTCCTTGAATGGAAATACATGTTGGAAATAAAAAGCTGGAAAAAAAAGCAGTGGAGGTGGAACTATTTGTTTGCTTGGTTTGGTGATGATTTAGCTGGGTTTATAATTTCTAAAAAGTAGTGAAATGGTCAAAGTGTATGTGCTTGATTGCATCTCTCTTAATTGCATGGTTATCACTTGCAGAGCAGTGTTACCCATTCCAGTTTTCTTGTCACGTCTATATTTGATCCAAAGCTGCTTTCACTTTTCCTGACTACAGTTTCCCTGCATGTACTTCTAGACACTGTCACCAAGTCCTTTAATATGGGTTTAATCTGTCTTCACTACATACGTGAAATGCATTTTATTTGAAACACTACCAGTGTGATATTTTCTCTCTTAATATCTCTATTCTAAAAAAAAAAAAGATAAGCCAACCAAAAAGTTTTGAGAGAATCCAGTGTTTTTAAAATACTTTCCTTTTGTAGCATGGTTTAAAAAAGCATTTCAGGTGATTAGACACATATTTTGTCATATTGAAATAGTTTTGTTCTTTAGTCATTTATTTCTAAATTATTTTCTGAAAGAAATAACTGACATGCTATGAGTGTGTATGTCTGTGTACACTCAGAAGCACTGCTTTAAAAAGTCATTTAAATGCACATTTAAATCTTACTAAATTGTTCAAACATGCTTTCTTAGATGAGAGCTAGAATGTATGACTGGAACTAGGCACATACCTTAATCTTCTCATCTAGAGCTTAATTACCTCATTATGAAAAATCAGTTTTAAATTATGAAAAAAGGGTAATTTTTTCATTTGTGTTTAGGAGAAGTCATGTATCCCTTCTCTGTCTATATAATTTGAAAACTTTACTGTTATCCCAGTCAAACCTCTAGCCAAACCATCACTTAATCTTTTTCTACCAAACTTTTGAGGGCCTTGGCCATCTTCTGTGGCTTTGCCAAGCTATTGTGGAAGCTTTCAGCTGCTCTGAGCTTACAGGTTTAATCAGCCCCATTGTGTCCTTGTTGGCAAGAAAGTGTTCCTGACCCAGGCTGTAGGCTTGGCAGGAAACAGGTGCTCTGGCAGTGGGGAGCCTTGGTAGAGGTGTGGTGAGAGAGGGAAATATCGAATTTGTTGCCTTGGCAGTGAAGGTTGTTTTTCTTTCCAAAAGCTTGTGGCCAAGAACTGAGTGAAATACCCTCTCCCACGGGAGGTGCCAGTGGTTAGGGCTCACTAGTCAGGCACACCTACCTAGAGAGAGACAGAACTGCCATCTCCGAATTTCAGGGAATTTCATGCCTGTAAGTGAAAGTTTAAAAGTTGTTCTCACGAATACAATCCCAGAGGTTTTTAGTGGCACAAAACCTGTATTGGCTCTAAGGGATGTGACTGAAAAAAGGGATGTGGTTTTGTGCTTTGGTCTCCCATAATTGGCCATTGTACAGTGGAAAAGGCCACTGAGTGAGGGATATGGGTCAGAATCTGGTCTGGGCTTGCTGGATATGTGGCTTTCTGTGGCCTGAGCTGTCAGTTCAAGCTCATGGGTAAACGTGGTCACTACAGTTGGCCAGTTGGAGAATGATGGGTGTGCTGAGCTGATGTGTTTACTGTATTCATTATTTGCACCAGCATCTTGCCTTTTAAAATTCCAGAGAAAGAAAGTTTGAGATCATCTCCTTTCCCCTACTTTTGTGCTGATGTCCACATTGTGAGTTGCAATTCTTTTTGACACCTAATAATATTCTTCAATCCAAACTGGAAACCAAGTTTTGTAACTCTGTGGTCATACTGGAAAAACTTTGAATCCAGCATTCATTTCAGTTATTGCTGTATTGCAAAAGCAATTCTGTTTGCACCCCAGTACTCAATTGAGAGCTGGGCAGTTATATTGGGTCTGGTGGAGAATAACATTCTCCATGCAGGTGGAAAGGCCTTTTCTTTGAGGGATATTGCAGACTTAATGCATTTAGCCAAATTACTATTTTTTGAAGTCTACTGAAAGGTATAAATAAAGAAAAATAATTTCATCCTTCTTAGAAAATGCACCATATTGCTGTTTTACACTTGGATCTTCATGGGAATATTTTTAATCAAGCTGCTACCTCTTGGGTTTGATTATATACCACTTACTTTACCTTAATTCCTTCTTAGCGCTCAGCTTGAAAATAATGTTAGGAAAAGTGAGTGCCTGGCAAGTCTTGAGAAACTGTGGATTTCAGGATTTCACATCAAATTCTCTTAAAATAGACTTTGTCAGTTCAAGAACTGTTTTGTACTTCAAATGTTGACCTTATTTAAATTAGTTACAGGTAAATGAATTCTGGGTATTTGAGCTCTTTCTGTACCATCTTAAAATCGCTCTTTTTTGCAGAAAATCTGTTGTCAAATCACTGCTGACTTTTTCAGGCAAAGTAAACAAATGATTCCAAATGAATTCTTGGAAATAATTTGAAAGTTGAGGCAACAATTATTTTGAATCTAAAAGACTAAAGCTTAATTCAGTGTCCTTAAGTGTTATCTACAGTCCCATCCTCTCCTCAAATACTTTTTATAACATGTTTCTAACCTTAATGTGAGCAGGTTCTTTTTTTTTTTTTTTTTTTTAACGGTGGATATCACTTGATCCTAGTTAAATCCCTCTCAGCCCCTCCAAAAATCTTATTTTCTAGGATTCCCCCACATCCCCAGAAAGACTCTTGAAATTCTCAGTTATTATTCACGTACGATTAAAAGGATCTATTATTAGAATGTGTCTGGCAGCAGAGCAACTGCCCACTTTTCATATAATAGGCTATTAATTAATACCCTTGTTGCACAGGCAGCAAGGCTGAGGATATAATCTGGGTCCAGCCAGTGGGAGGTTGCACTCAATTCCTGAGCTGTGGAATACCCTGAGCCAGAACCTGCAGCTCAGAGAGGTGCTGTGTGTCCATCCCCCATCCGCCACAGAGCTGAAGCTGGGCACTGATCTCCCTGGCACAGCACCCTGCCTGGAGCAACTGTTAACAATTCAGTGATCTTCACTTTATTCTAGCTAGTTTAGAAAGAATGAAATCTAAAAATCCCGTGTAGCCTGGATAGGGTACTGTTTCTATCCAATATAGGGGGTTATTTAATGTGTGCAGCGTAGCAGGTTGGAGTACCCTTTAAAGTGCATTACTTTCTGTAGTTATAATGCTTTTTCTCATTTCTAAGTTTTTCTTTTAATTTTGTCCCGGATTGGCATGGAAAAAATCACTGTCATGGTGACAAATCTGAAATAGGACTTGAGCATTATGCAGTTAAATATGTGTACTGCTCTCTAACCTGCTGGCTGATGGAATTGTTTGCCATGTTCAGCAGTGAGCATGACAAGAAAAGCTGAAAGCAGAGCCTCTGAATGCTCTTGTTTAACTCATTTTCTTTTCCTATGCTGTTGAGGGCAGAAGGGCATGGTATTTTTATGAGAAATATGATTCTACATTCACTGAAATGGAAGAACTAACCAGCCTCAATGGGAATCTTCTTAACCACCTCAGCTTTTGTTCTGCATTTCAGATTCAGAAAGTTGAAAGTTCAGTTGCTAGTTGAAAGTGCTTCTTTTAATACTGCTCTTAGTACTCTTCATAGCACTGTTCTTTCTTCATTAAAATTTATTACTGAGATACTGTTACACTTCATTCGGTATAAGTAAAGGCATCACATCCTTTCTGTATTTAGTCTTGTCCTATGAGTACTAATGTCTGACCTACCTAGAAGTTTCTATGTTTTTTTTTCTGATTCACATTTGGTGAAGGATGAGGTAGATACCTTGCATTGTTATGAACGTTTTCTGGAACAAATGACAGGTATTTTGCTAAGAAAATAGTGATGACCCCACTTTCATGTGCCACCATTCACCTAAAATGCTTAATGCATCCCCAAATGAACTGTAGTGGGTCCAGGTTTCCTCTTGTTCTTTGTGAAGTCTGAAGTTCTATCCAAAACATAGCATAGAGCATGTGTACATGTGAAAGAGAGCTTATGTAATGGAATGGATAAATTACCATGTCCTGGTTATTTCTGATGGAGCCAGTGGAAGTAAGTGTATTTCTCCCCAGAGCTAAAATTTTCAAATTTTGCTGGTAGAATCTGTATATGGGAGATTCAAGCCTCATCTGACTCTTGCATTAATTCAGTACAGGATTCGTGTAGTTGCTTGGTTTAGAGCTCACATTAGAAACATTTATCCAAAGGAAGGAGAAAAAGTTCTCTGTTTTGTCTTTTTAAAGACAGAATGCTTTGATTGCTAATCATGAGTATTCTGAAAACAGCTTTGAAATGCAGTGAGTCTGGCCATTATGGTAACTTGCTACTGAGAGGGCTTGCACTCACCATGGGTTAGTCAGTGGCAGTGATTTCATTAATAAATGGGCTCAGGTTCCTGAAGCACGTGGTGGTTTCTCTAGTGGTATGGGGATAAGAGGTGAGCACAGGCAACCAGTGATTCCACACTGTGATTCAGGACTGGCATTTCTTAATTCAGAGCAGAGAAACAGGCTTTGATTTTGTTGGAATAGCAAGCCAGTTTAAGTCAAAATCTGTCATGAAGAAGTCTCGATTCCTTTTAGTTGTTGTTGCTATTATTATTGTTGTTGTTAACAGTAAGAAGAAATTGTTTTCAAAGTGATCCACTATGGTTATTTTAGCTGACCATTTTTGGCAGGATCTTCTTGTAAAATCCCTTTTGAAACATGGCCATGGTCTCACCAGAACATGTTTGCATAACTTCTATTTCATAAATAAATGCATGGTTTGTTTTTAAGAAAAGCCTGAATCATCCACCTTACCTTTCTTTTTAAGCTAAACACTTCCAACATAAATAGAAACTGCTTCTGCAAATGCAAGCTAAGCCTGTTGCTCTGGAGCCTTTTCAGCCCTCTTCCTTCCCTTTCTTTCCCTCTTTCACACACATACCTGCCTCTTGCTCCTACTTCCCCAGGTGCTGGAACACTCAGAAAGTTCGTGTTTCAAATATTGCTCTTTCCACCAACTTCCAAAAGATAAATTGGGAAATTTTTAAAAATACTTACAATAAAGGGTGTTACTAAAGGCCTTTTTGAAGTCCCAAAGTGTTGGGCAGTATATAGCATTTGCATCCCCCTTAAGCACTAGTACTTCTAAAGCAAATAAATTGTAAAAATTAGCATAGAAGTACCTTGTAACCAACAAGGTTAAACAAGATGCTTCAGGTGACCTGCACATGCAAATTTTTCATTCATGAACTGCACTAACAAGTTATTTATTCTGTTTTGTGTTAGTATTCACTGAAATGTTATTTTCATTAACTTATTTAACTGTTAAAATGCCGATACTGAATTTTATGTGAGTCCTACCTTCCCCTGCTCTGTTGTTGTATGGTATGTATCTGTTTCTCAGGATCACTGCTTTCCTCGTTAAAGTCAGAAGGGTTTTCTGTTTTGCTTCTTTATCACAAAATGGCAAGCCCCTTACAGTCTGTACCTGAGGTATCTTGCAGCTTGAGGAAAGAACCAGTCTGGAACACTGTAAATTTAATGTGACTGATAGGTCAGTTCAGCAGTCATGTCCCAGATGGGGTTTTCCTGGGGGGACAATTTTTCCCCTCGGTGTTCCTTTCCCTCGCTTTTTGAAGGATAGTGGAACTTTTTAGTTACATGAAATATTGTGGCTATAAAACCCAGCTAAGTAAGCCTAGTTTATGTTTATTTTCACTTTCTAAAGAAGAGAATGAAAACTTGCAGAATAAAAGGAAAATCCAGTCAGTATTATGTGCCCAGTCTCATGGGACTCATGGTGCCATAAGAATATGGGAAGGATTTTAAGGATGAGTTGCTTTGAAGCTACAGACGTGTAAATCTCAGGCATTTGTGTCTTGTTCATGCAAGGTCTGTAGATAACTTGAAACATGTAAACAAATTATCTAAACCTGAAACATCGTGGAGGGAATTCCCATTTTCCATACACGCCAGTGTGAACCAATTCAGTTATTTCTGGGTAAATGAATCCCATACTGATACATGGGTAGAAAATTATGTCAGTTTTCTTACAGAGAGTGAGATGACTAAGTAGAAAAAGTATTTTTAATATTTCTTGTATATTAATGTAGAGAAGAATACAATAGCTCATCCTAATTGTTGAGTTTTGAACTGAACTTATCTCATTGCTTTTGATTCAGACAAGTAATCTTTAAGTTCTAAGATTCAACTTCAAGGTGATTTTTTTCTGTCATAAAAATTAGCATTCCATCTTTACAAGCTAATACAAATCTAAGGGGAAAAAATACTTGTGTCTCTGTAGAAATCTGCTGGGACAATGTCATTGTTCCATCACATATAGACTGCAATCCCATATATAGGTCATCCAGTCTTTGGTCAGTGCCTGTCATCTTTATGTTTAAAAGCAAAAAAAGACAGATCTCTACCTTGTCCAATGTGTCAATGTTCTGGGGATAACATCACTCCCTAGTGTCACACTGCTGTGTAAATCCCATAGAAGGAGATTTGAATAGGAAAATTGATCATTTCTCTCAACAATAAAGGTCTACAGGTCACTCACACCCTGAAAACTGATTACTGACAGAGCTGGGTTTATTTTAGTGGCAGGAATAATCCCTGACATACATGAGAAAAAATGTATTTTTAATAGTACTGTATCTGTGTTTTACAAAAGAAGAAATAAATTGCCCTGGTTAAGGAAGCCTGGAGGAAAGTCAGAGTGGAGCAATATCCCACTGCTCCATCCATTGAAAGGCCTGATTTTTTCCCCAAGCTGCAAGAAAAGTGAGCAATTCTTTATAATTGAGCCACGGAGCTCATGAAAGAGAGGGACTGATGCATTATCCTATTTTCTAATAATATTGCTTTATGATACTGCTGCTCTTTAAAATGCTGCGTTTTGAGAAGAGGCATTATGAGCCAGAGCATACAAAAACTGTGCTGTTTTTCCTTCCTTGCTATAAAAAACAGAAGCTTGGATGTTAGCAGAATGTCAGTATAATTGTATATTTGGAAAAAAGCTACATCAGAATGGAGTTACACATAGTCAAGCTGGATGTGGTATTGTTAAGTAGAACTGAGTAATCTTGCCATTTGTACTGCAGTTTACTTTTGACTTTGTGCATTTTGCTTTTCTCTTTCTTAGATGCACAGCCCACAGATGGAGAAAGGGAGGTCTGGAACCAGATCAGTGCAGTTTTACAGGACTCAGAAAGCATGCTTGCAGACCTTCAGGCTTACAAAGGAGCTGGACAAGAAATTAGAGATGTATGTTTGTCAATGACAGTTCTTTGGAAGCAAAATCAGGCAAAACTCAAATGTGTTCCTTGCTTCTGTTCTGCTCTGTTCATCCAAGCACATTCTATGAACTCGAGTGAAAATGTCCTTGAAATGTATTTATAAAATACATGACAGATTATGCATAACATTCAGTATAAATCTCTCGTTTGAAATCATTAAATGATGGCCGATGGGACTTCTTTCAGGTTTTCTGTTAGTAATTAGTTTTTTCACTTTATGAAATACCATTGCATATACGTTGTTTCATGTATCTCAAGGCAGAAGTCACTTTGAGGACATGGAAGAAGTAATACTCAGTTGTCAGAAATACATGACACAGATAGTTGTTCTTTTCTGTAAGTGTGGTTCTGTAATGAACCACAGTAAATTATAACTTTACATCCACTTTAGAGGCATCTTATTCTGTGAAACTGGTCCTGAAGTACAGTTTAGAACTGTAACTTAGCGTTTTTCTCAGATGACCAAAACTTTTCCTGCATCAGTTTTGCAGATACTCTTAGTGTGAGCTGTTGCTTGCTTAAAAACCTTAACATGCTGAAGTTTTCGAAAGCCTTAAAACTGGAAAGAAAGGCTGCTTTTGCAACCAGTAGTCACACAAAAGGTTTTACCTGATGCTTTTACAATAGTTTTGCTCCCAAAAGAATATGCTAGAACATATTTCTATATGTCAGTGGTTCATTGTAATTAATGATTTTAAAACAGTATGTTACAGGGGGAGAGGGAAGGTGAAAAACCTGATATTTTTTTGAATCCTATGCAATGTAATTTCTCAGAATTCTTCTGTGTTTTACAGTACTTTTAAAAATAATATAGAAAAATTCCAAACCACATCTTGCTTGTTATTTATTTGTCACAGGTCTTTACAGTAATATTCTCATTTCAGGCAATACAAAATCCCAATGATATCCAGCTGCAAGAAAAAGCATGGAATTCAGTCTGTCCCCTGGTTGTAAGGCTAAAGCGCTTTTATGAGTTTTCACTGAGATTAGGTGAGCCCTGTTTTAGTACGTCTGTTTTATAGGTTTTTTTATATATAATGAAAGAGGAAGCTTTGTCTTTCCAGAAACTTTTGAAGTTTTAGAGTTAATATTATTTCTATTTGATATCAATGGACATTTAACTGCAATTGCATTTATCAAGGCATCTCTTTAATCTTAATTTCATAGTTTGTTAGTTTGTCTATATTACCTAAATAGCATACAAGCAAAAAACATGATAAAACTACAAAGTTTTTCTCTGTTTCCTTCCACGTTTCTGCACATCACTGGTCCATTTTGGACAAACGCAATTTATTTTTTGTAATTTGGATCCTTTGGAACTTTAAAGGGAACGTAAGCCAGTAATATTTTGAGACTTTAAAAATCTCAAAAAGCGGGGATAATGGGGAGAGTGAATCAATAAACTCTCTCACAGCGTGAAAATCCAAAGTTGAATGTGTTGTACTCTGACTTTGTCATCCCAACAGACACAAAAGGTGATGTAATTACTCTTTGAATTAGGACTCGAATACAAATATGTGTATGAAGTGAGAGGGCTCCTAGCACAAGGGGATTCTTGTACAGCATCCTCTAACTATGTCTTTCACTTTTTGGGTTATGCTAGTAATTACAGGCACAGAAGCTGATTTACATTGCTGTTGGTGCCTGAGTACACTTTTAGTAACAGACGCCAGAATAATCTCTGTACTGAGCTGAAGGCTAATTGAGGAAGATGGAAGTGTTGAATATCTGAATGCAAGAAAAATGCTTCCTCTAGAATTTTTCATAGGGATCCCAGATAAAGGGTGACAAAAATGGAAAATAATTCAATGATACAAAATGGAGAGAAAATGGCAGAGCCTAAAGAGGTAGGTGTCTTTAATTAGTGCTTCTCACTCCAGAAAAGTAAGAAAAAACACTTCTGTTAGGGCTCGGCATGTTCAGGGGGTTTCTTCCCTTCAAATGCACTATGTTTAAATACGTAGTTAAAACTTTGTGTGGACTGACTACAAATTGTGCTTCTGATTTTTATCCAGAGAAAGCCCTGCAGAGTTTACTGGAATCCTTGACATGCCCTCCCTACACGCCAACTCAGCACCTGGAACGGGAACAGGCTCTAGCAAAAGAGTTTGCAGAAATCTTACATTTTACTCTTCGTTTTGATGAACTTAAGGTTAATAGAGTCTTTCAATACATGTTGATTTTTGCTGTGTATTTTGAACCAAAACTGATTATTTCTTGTTTCTCTTCCTGGAAGATGAGAAACCCAGCAATTCAGAATGACTTCAGTTATTACAGGCGGACAATAAGTCGCAACAGAATAAACAACATGCATGTAAGTGAATAAACTCTGCTGTGCTGCATGCAGTGAGGTATTTATTTATCAGAATGCATTTGTGCCATTTGTGGTAAAGTTTTTACTTTTGATCCAGTAGCTGTCGTGTTCCCTCCTTCACACCAAGAGTTAATCAGCAGTCTGGATGAAGTGATTAGAGAGGACTTCAAGCAACAATCTACTTGCTGACATGAATATAAACTGTATCTTTTTCTTGCTGCTGGCAAGATTTTAAAGAGCTGTACTGACTATCTTTTCTCCTGTTTCCATCAGCTAGACATTGAGAATGAAGTGAACAACGAAATGGCCAATAGGATGTCCCTGTTCTATGCAGAGGCCACACCAATGCTGAAAACCCTCAGTAATGCAACAACACATTTTGTTTCAGAAGTATGTAAAGGGGGAGAAGGGCCTAACAAAGACATTATTGATTTTAATTTTACAAGATAGTTTACTGAACATTGTGTTTTTCTTACCCTTCCAGAACAAAACATTGCCAATTGAAAATACAACGGACTGTCTAAGTACTATGGCCAGTGTATGTAAAGTCATGTTGGAAACACCGTAAGTTTTATCTTAAATCTTGGAGGGTTTGCATGATAGAACTTATATTTTAATTAGCCATCTAAGATAACATGTTTTTTTCAAAGTAAATTCCTATATCTTTGCCTTAAGTTGTTACTCCTTTTGTCTACAAAGCATTACCTGATATTAGAAAGCCTTATCTCCTGTTCTAAGCACCTTATGATATCTTTCCAGAATCAATGTTGAGTTCTCTTGAGGAGAGCTTACATGGTCAGCCTGTGTTTCCACAGATGGTTAAAACACAAATGTAATAATCTTATGCACTCACAGGCTTCAGTGTCTTGTCACTTGTCACAGAGGGCAAGATTTTAGCTCTTCTGAGCAGTACTTTAGCAAATACACAGGGACATTTGACAAATGATACAAGGATCATTTAAGCAGATTTTTTTTTGGTTGTAGCCATCGTATTCTAGATATGAAAAAAAAATCAGCTGTATGAATTTTCATTCGTATAAATGTATTCAGCTGTACAATTGTGTTGATATCTGCTAGTGTAGATAGAATAGCCAGTGGGGTTCTTTTATTATTATTTTACTATGCATTTAGTGAAGTATATTTTAGGTTAGATGTCTCTGCGACTGGAAAACACAAGGTAGTCTTTCTGCCTATGAGTCATTTGTTCATGGAGCCATGTAAAGGTAGAATTCCTGAGGTTTTTGTTTGTTCATGAAAATTTTGGAGAAGTGTCTGTAGGGGTGGGACTCATGTCACAATCCTGAGACATCATAGAAGTAGTAATTGAAAAGTAGCCTTATGAGTCAGCTCTTTTTTTGGCAAAAGTAGAGAAAAAAGTTGAGTCATCTAGAACATTATCTGATGTTTAATTCTAATTGTGGGGTAATCAAGCATTTTCAAATCAAAATTTCTGTAACCTTTTAGTCTGTTCATGTTACGATGCTGTGGAAGAACAAAAGTTGTGAGTTTTTGTAGACTGAGAGGTACTACAATACACAGAGAGAGAGCACAATGACTATTAAAATCCACCTTGGTGAAGCCCTGACCTTCCCAGCTGCTGAACTTAGGTCCCACTTAACTATTCCAAAGTAGGAATTTAAGCAAAAACAGTAGCTTTCCTTTGGGGTCCCAGAATGTTGTGTTTCTGAGATTAAACTGAGGTATGATCAGTCTCCATCATATTTCATGAAGTTTTCTATGAAGCCATCATCACATAAATTTTGAGGATCTCATCTATGCATGGGTATGACAAGAGGTTTACATCTGTCTACTCTCTAACCATTCTTGTAAATTGGCACAGGCTTACAGAATTCACAATATTCAAAGTGTTACTAATGTGCATCTGCAACCTTAAAATATATTTTTGGTTCAGATTTCACACCCTCCCAGTCTAGTTTTTAAAATTGTCTAGTGAAAGGTCTAGAATGTTTCTTTCGTTCTGTTTTCCAGAGAGTACAGGAGCAGATTCACCAGTGAAGAGACCCTCATGTTCTGCATGCGAGTAATGGTGGGAGTTATTATTCTGTACGATCACGTTCATCCTGTGGGAGCTTTCTCAAAGACATCAAAGATTGATGTAAGAGAGGCCTTTCTTTGATACTCTGTAGGTTTGAGAATACTAGTCTGCAGCTCTTTTTCTGCACAAGCTTACAGCTTGGTATAAATAATTTTAATTACTTTTGAATGGCAAAATTTAGAATTTGTCTTCACCTGTGCACTTTAATGCATCAGTTTGTTTGAAAATAAAATAAGGACAAGCTTATTTTCTTCTAGACACAGATAATAGTTTTTCTTTGTTAGCTCTGCTTTCCTGTATAGTTAGGCTAAAATAATTTAGTACTACACCTAGCCTGGAATATGTTCCTTAGTCATAATTTTTTTAAAATCATGTAATTTATCAAAGCTGAAATGCTCATTTTTCACAGTAGTTCTCTTGTAAATAAGTAGATATTCAATGTTGTCTCTGCTTTGTCTGAGATCTGAAGTAGCAGAGCTGAAATTACTGTTGTAATGTTGATAATGGTTCCTCAGTTTTATTTTTGGCATGGCCAGTCACAGAGAAATCAATTTTATTTTTCCATTTGAGAAATTGCAAGCACACATGGAAAGAATACTCTTGTTTTTTCTGCATGTTTTTGCAAACCTAAATCTCATGCACCACTTATTTCAGCAGAAATAAGCTGTTATTAATGAAAAAGATGCCAAGTTGTTTCCCTTTACAAGAGATCCTGCTTAAAAAGAAAAGAAAAAAACCATATATTGTTGCACTCCATGTCACTGGGTCTTCACTAGCATTTTGCATCTGTGGATACCAGAATTTTACCACATCTCTTTGACTCTACAGATTGAAAGATTTGGCACAGGGGTGAATAGATTTACTAAAGGTCTTGAAGCAGGCAGAGCCCGGGACTTGAATGCAGATTTCTTGACTGCTAGTTCAGTCTCTGCCTACATAGGCAACACAAAAGAAATTTTGATGGAACCAAATACACATTGTGTGCACTTTGCTTCCCATATTTATCCTAAAGACCTGTAATCTTACAGGAGAGTTAGCTAGATGTAAATGGGAGGCAGGAGATGTATTACTCAGTTTTAAAAAAACGAGTACGTGGTCCCAAATCTTGATTTGCATAATTAGTTTAGTGATTTTTTTGTAATTCAAAAAATTCTCCTAATGATGAGTTTGTTTTACTGTGGTAAATAATTCTTTTCTCCAAACTGTTCAATTCAGTCATTCAAGCCATTTCAAGAGAATTTCAGGGACAGTCGAGTTTATTACCCTTTCCTTACTCTTTCCACACTAGAGGCTGTATTTCAAGCTATTAATTACAGTTTCCTAGCTCAGACATCTGTCTCGGTTTGAAGGACAAGTGTCTGCCGAGGAAGGTGTGAACCTTCCTTGGAATGGAGAGCATGACCCCCTCCCTCCAAATTATGATGACTTTGAAATCAAGGGGCTTTCAAGCAAAGATATGGGAAAAGGAATGACAGTTCTTTACTAATATGGATGTTTATAAAAAGGCAAACAAACAACAACATGGCACTGACAGCTAACAAAAGTAAAAACCCCAGAAAACCCAATAAACAAAAATCTGTTCTTGCTGTCTCCGCACTTTCCCCTTTAGTGCAGTTCCGGGCACGGCCAGCAGGGGGCGCTGCTGCTCCCCCGGGCAGGGCGGGGGCGGTGATTCCTCCAGGCCTGCAGGGGGCGCTGTGCGCAGGGCTTGGGCAGCACGCGGTGATGGCGGCTGGGCCGAGACGGGAAGGGATGGGAGAGAGGCTTTGGTTTATAAACCCCGGGGCAGTGTCGGTCCCAGTGCCCAGACGGGAAGGGATGGAGGAGAAGCTTTACAAATCCTTGGGGCAGGTGATCCCAGTTCCCCAGCAGGACCCTCGGGAGCAGCAAGCTGGAATGGTCGGAATGAGCAAAAGTCCCAGGGTGTGGAGGAGCTGTATCAGAAGTTGCACAGCTGTCGCTGGAACCGTGGGGTGTCCCGACAGGCAGGGGCTGCAGGGCTACAGCACAGCAGAAAAACCTGAGCAGTGCAAGAGGAACGGCGGGGCTGGGCAGCAGCAGCCCGGCTCCGAGGGGCCAGGCAGGTTTGGGATCCCAGGGTTTCCCCTGAGGCACTCCAGGAGATGGTGCAGGGTCCCTGTTTGGTGACGTGGGGTCTCAATAAAGGCCCAGTGCAATGGCCGCTCTTCCGAGCAGAGTTCACTCATGGTAGAAGGAAGGCAGCAGGAGATGGAGCCCTGCAATGGTGACGAATTCTCCCCATAGCGACTGCAGGCTCTCCCCTCTCTGAATGCACAAGAGAGCTAGGAAAGTCATCCCCTTTTTCCCAGCCCAATGCTTGTGGTCTTCTTCCCAGAGAAACCCCCAGGTAAAAAGAGAGTAGCCAGCTGCTCTCCTCCCCTAAGCTGTGGCAACTTATTTTGTCTCTCTTGAGTACCTGGTCCTTATTGTCTCCTAGCAGCACATATGGGAGAAAAATTCCCTGAGAGAAAAAAAACAAAAGGAAGAATCCTAAACCCCAACATTATCCTATTTGTTTTAGGTATAGTGATTCTAACAAAAATGAAAAAGAATTGTTTGAATTTTTATCCCCTTTGACTTGGCCTGATCTGATCAGATCTGCTGGGGCAGATCTATGCACATTGACTTCAGTTTTTCTAACCTAGGAAGAATAACTGTGTCACTTCAAAACTCGTGGTGCTAGCCTGAGAATCTCCTGTAATCTGTTATTTGCAAAGCTAGTTACACTTCCCAGGTAGAAATGAGCCAAATAAGCAGTGTTTGTTGGGCTAGTCCTTGTCAAGGATGCTAAGCTACATTTTCTGATTCATTTTTACTGGCACATAAATGGACCCTGACTTTTAATTTAAGTGCTTCATCATCTGCTTCCTTGCTAAGGCAGAGGTGCTCTTCAGCTGCAAAGAAAATTCTGACATGTAGGCTTTGCACTCCAATGTGACTTGGAAAATTAAAGAATTCAAATCTTCACTCAGGCATGTCTTTATGTGTCATTTTGAATAAGATGGAATTAATCTAGGTTAATTTCTGGATAGCTAGGTTCAATGTCTTCATAGCAGTGGGAAGAAATAAGTACTAGTGGGGCATAATTCATTACATATGAAGATACATTCTGAATAGGTTAGAAGAATTCCTTGTTTTTCTCTATTGACTAGCTAGGGAGTCTGTACAATTGGTCAAATGAGTTCTACTCCTGCTCTGTCTGCTTCTTTTCGCCTTTTTGTAAATTTGGACAGTTTCAGCCTGTTTTTTACAGTTTCTACAAAGGTGTTCGTTCAGTGTGGTGTTAGAATCAACACCACAGGCTTCATAGATTAAATTTTTAACATCTAGTTATGAAACAAGTAATAACTTGTCACTGGTTAAGTTTACAACTAAAAACTGAATGCTGAAAATTACTTCCTTGTATGCAAACATAAAAATAGAAGTCAAAGTTGAAACGTCTCTTCTTAGAGTTGTTAACAGCAATGACACAGAACTCCCAAAATCTCTTTTTTTTATGTATATCAGCTTATATCAAGTGCTTTTGATTTTTGTATTTTTTAGTTGGAATTGAAGAAACAGTGTACAACTTAAAATATAGATACATGATACATAATTTGCTCTCTACAAATGCTTATTAAAGTAGATGTTTTCTCCAAAGTTAAGTTTTTAACATTGAGATAATTTTTAATATGTTATAATGCTTTTATTGTGTAATTTAAAGCAGCATTAACACTCAGTAAGAAAAGAAACCTGCCTTTATACAGTGAAATTTTTCCATGTTTTCAGCTAGTGCAATTCATATGTTATTGTTCAATAGTGGCATGCTTCTGTTCCCAGATGAAGGGATGCATAAAAGTTTTAAAGGAACAACCACCTGACTCTGTGGAAGGACTTCTGAATGCTCTCAGGTATGTGTGATTCAGCCTTAGAAAATTCTTTTTTGTTTTTCTCCAATCTCTTTAAGATTCTTCAGTTTAGAAGATTGATTTAATAAGATTATCCTCTCAGGTCTGCCTTCATCACCTGGGGTTTTCTAAAATTAATTTCTTCCTATTTCATTTCACTTGAATGAACAATAACTATTAATATTGTAAACAGTATATCCTAGCTAAAATTTGCTATATAAAATACCCCAGCATCTAGAACATTTTACAAATGAAGGGTGAGATTTCTGTTTATCAAACTCTTAAGTACTTCCCTCTCCCTTTCCATCTTAATAAAACGTTTTTATTTTTTTTAAATATTGCTAAATTATAGAGCTTCAAGAAAACAGTCCTAAATCCCAATGCTGTTTATGGTGCTGTCTTGGGAAGGAAAACACACAGGGGTCTGACACTTCTCTGAAGCTGAGAAGGGAGTCAGTACCAAGTTTTTCAGAGCTGTTTTGACTTCTCTAGCTGTTAAATTCTTGGATAGAGGGAGAACTGCACCACCACATTTGATTATGTCTTTTGAATTAAAGTTGATGTGGAGTTAAATCCTACAGGTGTCAAGTGTGTTTCAAGCTTATGTTATTACCAGTCTCCCTATTAGCATAAACAGTGGAGAATGCTTGGGTTTAAATGGAAAAAAACACACTAAAGCTCTTCAGTCCTCTCAGAATGTTTAAGAATACTGCTTAAAGTAATAGATTATGCCAAAATTCAGTCTAGATTCTGAAGTGATTTTAGCATTTACCACATTTCTTATGGCTCTTCATGATTTTGCTTCTTTTGAGGCTTTTAACTAGAAAAAATGAGAGGTAATGTTGACCCAAGACAATCTATGACAATGTCATAGATACCAAACAGGATTTGGCCACGATTCTCCACCTTTTAGCAGGGACTAATTTATTGCCTAGGGTATTTAGAAGATAAAGAGCACTAGATTCTTACCAGTTGAATTCCAGGGATCAGTAGAGAGAGGAACATGTAAATTCCTCCTTTGTGTAACTGAACTGTACTTATTTTAAAAACAGGCTCAAGTGTTCAGACTTTTCCTATCTCTATTCATTTTATAAATTATTGTTTTAACTTGTAATTTCTAGGTTCACTACAAAACACCTGAATGATGAATCTACTTCAAAACAAATTCGAGCTATGCTGCAGTAGTATCCAGAGACAAGTAGATGTTTGTATTGATCACAGAAGATGTGTATGTTTACATAATTTAATACAGTTTGATGTTAATACTTGTGTGTATTTACATAACCATTTTCTTCACATTGCTAAAATATATATCTGTTCATAACCTAACTGACTTTATATAGTGCAACCTAAGTTTTTATTCTAGCCTTTATCTTTTGACTTTTAAACTACTTTTTTACTTAGATACTTCAGTTATGACAGTTTATCTGTGCATTTTAATCCTTAAACACCTTCTCTATCAGAGAAGTAAGTAGTAGTGAAAACAAAATGGAAATCAAACCGAAATGTCAAAGGTACCACAGAAAAGGAACTTTAAAGAAGAAGAAAGTTAATATAAGAGAAAGTAAAATTCATTTTATATGTTTTAAAGAACATGTGCACATTTTTTTGGTCACTTTTAGGATCTTGTCAAACTAATATGAATAGGAGAATACCTGAATGTTCATTGCTCTCATGAATGCATTGTCTTTCCTGTAATAAGTGGAGATCCACCTAATTTTTAGGGTTATGTGCTGTCTGGAATCCAAAAATCTGTTTCAAACAGGTAATTTTACCTTTTTACTGAAGTATAACCTATACCTTTCAACAACTGAGGAGATTAATATCCTTTCTCAGATGCAGTATAAATAAACAGAAAATATACTTAAAGAACATTGATAGATTTTGAAAACTCTGTATAATTTTATTAGACTTAGAAAGGAAAGGGAAAATACTAATGCCTTGACTTAACTGGAAAAGATTTGTCAGTGTAAATATATCACAGTAAACTAACTACCAGAGAGCTCTAGCCAGTAAGTAATTTTTGGCTTATCTAAACCAGTACACTCTTCTGTGGCAAACTTCCCTTGTGTCAAATCAGCCTCATCAGACTAGGGATGGTTTAAATTTAAGAGCTGATCTGTTCTTAGGAACTCCATTAAGTTCCTGATAGTGTTATTCATTAGATGGTTCAGAGTCACTACTCTTCACTGGCTTTTGAGATGTGATTGATACTTCAAGAAGTTTCTTGCTGAGTTGTTTGTTCTTACTTTCTGGTAAATTTTCCAGTTAATGAAATAGAAATACTTTGCCAAAAGCAGCCAAGTGCTCATGCTCTGTTAAGTGTGTCTCCTGAGTGGTCTGCAGTTGCTGTACATATTCTTGCAGAGATCACATTCTGAAAATGTGTTTGATTTTTGTGTACTTTGTTTGCATGTATGTGTGGAAACTCCAGTGCTTGTGCACAGATTCAGATTTGAATTTGCTTATTCCCATATAGATAAATCAGGGTTTGTGTGCTTTCACTGGAATTTTCATGCACATCTCTTCTAAAAACATTACCTTAGGACTTTGAAGATGCATTTGGTCTGCTGGAACCCGGCTGCACTGTGACAAACTGTCATTGAACTCAGTCCTTAAACAGTATTAATGTCATAAGTTCTCTGGAATAAGGATTGACTTGAGAGCTTATTTCTGAGCAGAGCAACCCCTGTGAGGTTTCTCAGACCTGGTCAGAACCCACAGGTGCCAGTGTCAATGCATGTCCTGATACTGGACAGCACCACAACTCCAGCACTCATGTCACACCTCTGCAGGTGCAGCAGCCAGTTGCTATGTTGTTGTCAGGGTGAGAGAACTCACTCACATTAGATCTTTTCCTTTTTCTGAAAGCAATGACCACACTTTTTTCACAGTAGTAAATCCACTGTTTACAGGCTCCATTTCTAATGGGCAGACATTTAAAAATGTATGTGAGGGAAAATCCTGCTTTGTTCATAGTTACTTTCAGTTAGGTAAATTAGGTGGATGACAGGCCATTCTGTTGAGCTTTGGTAACTGAAGTTAATATATGCTTACCTGCAATTTTTTGTCAAACAATGAAGTCTTATCTTTAAGTAGGCCAGAGGAAAAGCTATCTGTCACTTGTATAATAAAAATGTAAACCTTAAAGCATTCTGTGAGTTGTCATGTGCTGTTTGCTGAAGTCATGGGATTTCTTTGCCTGCTTTGATGTTTTTGTACAGAAGTTTGTTTCAAATAATAAAAAATTTGGTAAAGAAAGCTTTGGGACTCCCTATATTTAGTGACAACGTAAACTGGTTGAGAAATACCTCATTTAAAGGCTTGGATCATATAGTAGGCTCACCTTTATGTGTCCAGTTTGTAGTTTATTTTAAAAGTATTTGTTTCACTTGTATGCTACAACACTGTAACCTCACATCACTTAAAAAATCTTGTTTTTTTCTGACATATATTAATTATCATTTGTTTGTCATTATCATCAAGGGAAATTGTTGAGGGCATTAATCCCTTCTCTTTTATATCTTCACATTAGTCATCCTGACCTATGGGGGCCATCTCAGGTTGTGTTTATAATCAATAAGGTCACCAGAGGATTATTCATTTAATTGTAAGATAAGTTCAAATGAATAGCTTTTGGAAGATGAGCTGTATAGAACTAATGGTTAAAATTATTGATCTCCATTTTGTCAGTGCTTCTTCTTATTTTGTCTCATCATTATGCAAGAGTACATGTTTGTAATATTATAAATATTTAAGCCTCATAATGACAGCACTTCAGAATGCTCATAAGTGAGTGTCAATAGTTTGATTCAGAAGAGCCCTAAAAATTTTGTGGTGGAAGGAAATACTATTTTAGGGTTGTATGAATTTGAAAGACTAGTATTTGTCACTTTGAACAATAGAATGTATTTGAAATATAATTTATGATTTCTAAGCTTTCTGCTGCTACTAAGTGGTTGCAATGAAAGACAGCTTCTGAGATTGCATTTAACTGGTCTCTGGAAGACCACGTCACTCAGATAAATGATCTTACGTTTTCCATGTCTACTAAAATTTACAAACCAACAAGAAGTCCTCTCTGTGTTGCTTTCTCTGTTGTATTTCAGCTAAATCTGAACTGGAAATAAGACATAAATGTATGAAAATGCTTGCATTCTTACATTTATTCTGAATTAAACAATGTAGGACATAAATTCTTCGTCTGAAATTATCTGTTCCTCCCCCATTTATTTCTTGAGCAGTTTAGTGTAATCAATATATTCCTATGACAATACAGTGCCAGTTCAGTAGATTCCCATTTGGGAAATGGTGCATCACTTTCTCAGGCCACATCTGAACCAAAGCAGTACAGATGTCCAATTGTCAGTCTGTCAAGGTCACTCTGAATGACAGCACAACCATCTGGTGTATCAACAGATCCTCCCAGTCTTGTATCAGCTGTGAAATTCCTGAGGGTGCCTTCTGCCCCACCCTCTGGATCATTTTTGAAGGTGTTAAATAGTATTGATCCCAGTACCAACCACAGGGGACACCAATAGTGACTGTCCTCAAGATGCATTTTGTGCTGCTGATGACATCCCCTTTGAGCTTAGAGTGCAGCCAGTTCTCAGTATACCCCACTGCCAGTTTGTCTCATCCAGAGTTCACCAGTTTGTCTATGAGGAAGTTACAGTGACAGAAGCCTTGCTAAAGTCGAGATAAACAAGACAGCTCACTCCACATTTATGGTCCATGTCACCAGGCCCCACTGATTGTGTAGGTCCAGCTTAAGTGTTCCCACCCTTATTCCTGATCTGCCCAGAGTTAAGTCTTTCTTGCTCCAGACTTTCTGGTTATGGGGGCCTGGGATTCCTGAAGGTAAATCCTACCATTAAAAGACAGGTCCCATAGCCTATTTAGCAGCAGGCAGATGTTTTCCATAGCTTTCCTATTGCTGCTAATATACCTATAGAATCCCTTTTGTATTGATCTTCGTGTCCTTCACCAAATCTCACTTCAGAAGGGCCTTGGCTTTCCTAAGTCCAACCATGCCATCTTTGCTTGGTTCCATGCTTGTCAGGAAGGACCTTTCTTGAGCTTGGATGAGGTGGTCCTAAAAAGTAAGCCAGCTCTCCTGGACAGATCTCTCTGGGGCAGTTTTCCATGCAATGCTTCCAACCAGATCCCTGAACAAGCTAAATTAAAATTCCCAAGGTAACTCTTTTTTTGTAAATCATCTTTTGGCTTTATAGTCAGAAATATGCTTTTAATGTTTTTTGAGTGTTAGAAGTGTGTAGTTCTGTGAACATCAAAATTCAAGAAATACAAAATCTTGCATATCCAAAAGTTTGCTTGTAATTCCAAGTAGTTGGAAGAGGTGGGGGTTTGGTTCTTTTTCTTTAAAATGTAGGACACTAATTACTGTTTCTTTGCCTCAGATGAATTCTCTTACCCAAAATTACAGAATCTATTACTTTGTACTGTGAAGCACTCTAGGTAACACAGTGCAAGTGAGCAGGCTGAAGCAGTGACATGAATTTGAATTGCCAATAAGAAAATAAAACTGAGTTTTGGTTAAAAAGCCAATATAGCTAGTAAAACTAGTATTTTAATTTAGCAGTCTGTAATGCTTCCTGTTAAAGACTAGTAAAGGTAAATTCCTGTCTGACACATAATCCAAATTCAGCAAACACTGAAATTTTTCATATATATTTGAGTCAGATAACTCAGTGGACTTCAGTAGAGCTGTTTCTGATTGACACAGGTGTAAACAATGCCCTTTGTCCTTTTTCAGTCGTAGCCTTTGACCCAGGTTGCTTATTACTGAGCAAATTGAGTCTTTTTGTGGGGATCAATGGCGTAACACAATAATCTTGCAGAGATCTCCTGTGCTTGACTTCTTTGGAAATAAAGCTAAAATGAACAATGTAGTTAGGTGTTCTAGAAAATAAGTATATAGTTAAAATACAGACCAACCAAGTAATATTCCCTAGTTTAAGAGGAAGAAACATCATTATTTTCTAACACATGTTAATTTGCAGTCAAGCTGGAATTAATATAACTCTCTTGTCTTGGGTATTTTAGCTGTTGACAATTAAATATGTAGACTTGGGTATTAAGAACTTGACATACCTCTTGACATTTTAAAATTGCTCCCAGAACTTAAAGGTTATAATATTTTTATGTAGCTTGGATCAAAAGTGCTATTGCAGCTTGTGATAATTCTCGTTCTGTGAGGATCCATTTCATGTAAGGTGGAGATTGTTTTGTCTTTGTTTTCTTTTTGTTTGGTTTTGGTTTTGGTTGGGGGATTTTTTATATTGCATACAAGGCTGTGGTTAGCTACAGGCACTTTCACTATTAAACTCAGACTTAAATAACATGCAGCATCAGAGCTCAAAGGCTCTTTAATAGAAACCTTCCCAAACAAGATGCCTTACAGAGGAGTTGAATTAGGTTTCTTAGATGAACTTACTGAACAGGTAAATGTGGTCCTAGTTGCTGAGATACTGAATATATCAATATAAGACGGAAGCAGGTGTTACATCTCTATGGTAATTTTTACTTTGGGGAAAGAAAAGTTGTGGTATATAGCCAACCTAATTAAAGGGTTTTGTGGAGATTTTCGTTGCATATCAAATTATATGAACATATTTGTTCTGAGAACATATTTGTTCTGATTAATTTTGAATTCCCCATATACAGGTATATATTCATAATAATATCTATGATACTTTTATAATGAGAGGGTTTTTTTGTAACCACTGACTTAGCCACTGTGTTTGCAGCTGTGTTTTGAAACTACAGAGTGAATGCCACATTTGTTTTACACAGCCTGTCAGATTGACATTTACTTTATTAAATTTGAAGCTTAAGATTCCTTTTGTTCAGTGGTTTCAGATTCACATTGAGACCCACTGTTCTGATTATATGTTGTACAACTAATTAATTTGAGATACACAGATAAGACCATTTTTTTTCTTTGTTGTCATTTGCTATATAATTGACCAGAGTTTAAAATAATACAAGGTTAGGTTAAATAGAATCAGCAAAAGTAAATGCATGCTACGTGAAAATTGCTTTAAATTATTTTGCTGAAAAATATTACTTCTGAGACAAGATTCCTTTTCAAAATAACAATATTTTTGTATTTTGTTTTTTTTATATAGGAACTGAGGGTTTACTGTTACAGATATTGACTGAGTATGTGAGTAGTTTAAATCAAGAGGTGCACTGTAACTGAGCTGAGAAAAGACAACAATTTTGTTAGAGCTTGACACAGGTGCCCAAGACATTGATTGCTGTTCATGTTGGAAATTTAGTGATTCTTCAATTCTTTCATAGTGATTAAATTAGAAGAAAAAAAAAACCAGTAATTTGTCTTTGACCCCAAGCACAATTTTAAACACCATACTTAATAAAAATTAGCCAGTCTAACAAGCAAACATTGTAAATTTTAGCTTTGAAAGGCACAGGCTTCAATTCAGATTATTTTCATGTCAGTTACTAGTGGGGCCATTACCACATGAAACAAAAGGCTCAGGAAACAGCAAAGATTTGGCCTCCCCAAAGTCAGACTGGGGTTTTGTGTGTATGTGAAAAGTTCAGTTCTCCTGGGGCTTTCATTCAGTTCACAACTGTATTGGAAACTTCTGCTGGAAGAATTCTGGTACATCTTCTATTGACTTTATGGGTCAAAAAGCATAAAATGAAAGATAGCATTCTAGACTTGGCAATATCAGGTCATTTACCTCCATGATCTTAAGACCAAAATGAAACTAATTCATGGTCATAATACTGGTGTCAGAGTTCCTAAAATGTCATTTTCAAAATTAGAATATGTATTTTTGCCTCCATTTGAAGTAGATCAATTCTTCCACAGCTTTACTTATATACATAATAACTTGATGTGCTGTTTGAGGCACAAAACTTTTTATCCTGCCTGACACAAATACCTTGAAAATAGAGGTGGCAGGTGTTATAAACTTATTCATGTGACATTTCAAGGCAGAGCACTTAGAACAGCCATAGGTTTTAAATGCTGGAGGTAGCAAATTATGCCATATGTGCAGTCCTCCAAAGAATATAGAGAGAAAGACGCTAAAGACCCTTGTTCTTTGTGTTCAAGTAGACTAAATTGTACCCAGAAATCATAGAGTGGTTTGAGTTGGAAGGGACATTAAAGTTCATCCACTTCTTACCACCCTGCGATGGACAGCGACACCTCCTGCTAGACCAGGTTGCTCAAAACCCCCATCCAACCTGGCCCTGAACACTTC